GATCTAGTATAGAGCTGTGTGAATGGGTGATCTAGTATAGAGCTGTGTGAATGGGTGATCTAGTATAGAGCTGTGTGAATGGGTCAGTGAGGCACAGATTGCTGTAAAGAGCTTTGAGTGTCTTGAAATAAGATAGAGAGGTGATCTATATAAAAACAGTCCATTTACCATTGACGTAATTTTGCTACAGTTAAAAAAATAATAATTTTTAGAAACTGGGCAAAAACTATTTCATTTTTCTTCTTGACAAGAATCTCGTCTTTAATTTAGTGTTCGAGTGAAAAATATGAATAAATGTTAAAAATCATTAAATATTTATAGTTTGATCAAAGCCAGGACAACAAACCTGCTGGTCTGTGGGCCACCAGTTGACAATCCCAGTTGTGGCTCCGGACACGGTTCACCAGTGACCCATGGACCACACGTGGTTCTGCAGACCCTGCAGAGTCCACGATCCTCTTCGGAACCACGTCCTCATGGAGCCGGACTGGACCGAACAGTTCGTGGAGCTCCTTCTCTGCTTCTCATTGGCTGACACGTGACGGACACGCGTGGAGGAACGCCCCCTGCGCCGGAAGAAAAGACTGCCTGAAGCGAGTGTCAATCAGGGAGGAGGGGGAGGAGGGGGAGGAGGGGGGAGTAAAGGCAGAGGGAGACGGAGCGGGCTCCGGATGGTTCAGTCCACCTTCAGACCCCCTCCCGCGGTGATCACTGTGGACCTGCTGTAAACTCTGACGTGTCCGGTCTCTGGTTTTTGATCTGGTTCTGCTCCTGCTCTGGACCGACGGACTGGATCTAGTTTTACTTTCGGGTGGATCCCAGAGAGATGAGTGAGAGGAGGCGATCGGCCGCAGCTCTGAGCTCGAGAGCGCACGCGTTCTCCGTGGAAGCCCTGATCGGCTCCAACAAGAAGAGGAGGCTCCGGGACTGGGGGGACAAGGACCTGGAGCTGTCCATGGAGAGCCTGGCCGCGGAGCGACAGGATCCGGCCCACTGCCTGGACATGGACCCGGGTCAGTGAGCGCGCAGACACGCACGCACACCAACAGAGCCGCGGTCCAGACCTGGACCACGACTCGCTCCTGTTCAATAACGGCTTTATTAAAGCAGCTGGTCCACGTGGACCCGGGACCAGGTTCAGGTTCAGACTTTAACGCGCCGAAGCACGAGCCCCGGACTCAGTGTGATTATTGATCCGAACAATAACTGATTGAACAATAATTGATCCGAACAATA